CACAATCTACACAACTAATTACCGCATTACCCAATCCATGACTTTTCCTGTTTTCATACGGCAGTATGAAAAAAACAGCAGATAATTACTGCCCTGAAGTTCCCTGCAGTCACTCAAAAGTACGGTCATTAGCTTAATTGCAAAGAAGCCATGGCGCAATGCCCTCCTACAAAGGAAAAGAGAGTGTACGTGATAAACCACTGCTAACGAACAAGGGGCGTTCCACTACAGCCTTCTAAGATGCATAGAAGTTGTGGGGAAAAACAACAACCCCAGCCATGTCACTTTACTAATATCAACACGCTTTTCTACCTTCAACTGAATACCACAAAAGGAGGAAAAGATATAAAAAACGGGAAAAAATACCACTACAGAGTCATTACATCAACGTACAAAATACATGACAGTAATGGTACACTGTTTACTCACACGATGGCACAGTCCATGAGGACCATGTCGCGTTCACACAGGGGGTTATAGGCCACGAACATGTGACTGCGAACACTTCTGGGTTCAAGAACGAGAAAAAGGGGAGAACCTGAGGCATGCTGTGCTACAAAGCTCTCTCTCCACCAACACTCATTAAATAAAAGTACTGTGATGATTTAGAAGAACATTGGTGCTAATGAATACGAGAATGTCGTCACACAATTCTACACAACTATGTAAAAAAAAAAAAAAGACGTGGAAAATATGGAATTAACAGTAAAACACGTGCATGAGAGAGAGAAGAACTGAACAAACATGTGATAAGCATGTCAAAAGTCACAAACAGAAGAGAGTAATAAAAAATAATGACATCGTAAGCTGATAAAAAACTAATAGCGACTGAAAGCAGATAACATTAAAAAAACAACAACAACAGCAAAGCAATAACAAGATGAATGTGAAAATGGCGAAAAAAAATTAATAACAGTAATGATATGACGATGAAGATTGTGATACTGCTGCTGCTGATAATTATGATACAATAATATCAACACCGTTAATCCTGAAAGAAATAGAGATGATAAATAAATAAATAAAGTCAGCAAGTGAGAAAAACTGCAACGTATATTCCGCTTCAGTTGAAAACAAGAAAAGTTTGACAACTTCTTGCATCATAATGTAATCTCTTTTTTTCTTAAGGATTGCGTAAATCATAAGTATATTAGTGTTTAATCAAATCTTATTTTCACTTCTACTACTCTCTCTCCCTCTCTCTCTCTCTCTCTCTCTCTCTCCCTCTCTCTCTCTCTCTCCCTTTCCTCTCTCTCTCTCTCTCTCCCCCCCCCTCTCTCTCTCTCTCTCTCTCTCTCTCTCTCTCTCTCTCTCTCTCTCTCTCTCTTCTCCTCTCTCTCCTCTCTCTCTCTCTCCCTTCCTCTCTCTCTCTCTCCCCTCCCTCTCTCCCCCCCCCCCATCTCTCTCTCTCTCCGTCTGTCCATCTATCTGCTTGTCTGTAAGTTTCTTTTTACCTTCCCTCAAGACTAAAACTGCATTTCTAACCTTGCACCATAATAACAAGGGCTACGACTAATGAGATAAGAAAGGGAAAAGCAACCTTGCATGACCTGGGCTCCCAAACTCTTTGTTCTTTAAAAAAAAAAAATATGTCCAACGCGTACCTATAAAACCTACGTTATAAAGAAACCTCTTAATCCTAATTCGAGTCATTATCCTTTGTTTCTTTTATTTAATTATGTTATTATTTTTTTTTTTATCTTAAGTTCACATTCTTTTTTTTTATATATATGAGAGCACATACGAAAACAGGTCACACACGTTCACTTTTCTCACTTGTTCGATTGCATTTTCAAATCAAACTCCCTTTCCTTTGTTTCTCCTTCCTTTGTCTGGGTCCATTTCCCCTTCATTCCTTCTTCCTCCTCATCCACTTGGGTCCATTTTCCCTTTCTTTTCTTTTACCATATTCCACATCATTCCTTTTTTCTCCTCATCCACTTGAACAAGAAGCTGAGTTCTTATAAAGTCCTTTCCCCTCTCCACCCACTCGCATTCTAAGATGACAAAGGACGGACAAGCGGCGTACAATCACAAACTATCCTGCATAATGAAAACATCAGTCTCA